GTAGCCCATTAAAGACGTCCTTTGGCCCAAAGTTGTTATGAGAATACATTTTTTTGTATCAAAGTTTCAGTAATATTTTTTTCATCTTAACAATTTGTTCAAAAGCTGACCCAAATATATAATCAATACCACAGTAGCATTTCATACTTCAGGTTTATCCATAGCTTTCTTTGCCGAGTTTTAGTGTCCTTCCTAAGGTATAAAATTTAGTGCTGATTGCATTGCATCATTGATGAGCTAGATCTGAGATTTTGGCATGTCGTAAACAAAATCTCTAATGAATTCTGTAGCTTCAGATGTATTATGGTTAAGTCCTACTTGCTATTTCTTTTGTATTTTGTTATAGATTGACATTACCATCAGATTCCACATGACAAAAAAATCTTGTTTTCTTTCTTCATCAAGTTTGCAAGAAACAACATTAGGACATGGAGCTCTGGCCCTACTAGAGATGACTAAAACTGGATTAGAAATTAGATCACAATTTCCACACTTAATAAGGCAGTAAGTCAGTTGTTGCCATGGGACTGAGCTGGTTGAATTGTCTTAACTGTTCTATAGGCGTAAATCTTAGACTTGCGCCAGATGCTTCACACTGTTCCTGCTGTGCAAAACAGCTGGAAGTTCAGCTTAAAGGATTCCTTTCTTAGAGAGAAACAGTGAATGGCATGGAGCTGAGATAACCTGAAATTGATGGGAAGCTACAGCAGATAGAGCGTCACTGTTGTGGCTTTAGGATGTATATCTGATTCTGAGGTTTGTATCAAGATAGGGAAAACTGCAGTTCAAGGCTTGGGAAGCAGTCTTACAGATGGATAAAGAGAGGTGAAGCTGGTTGGTTTCCTTTTTATGAATGTGCTTTGCCTCAGTAACTTTTGCTTTGCTCTCTTTTTCAGTTTTAATGAGTATTTTTCTTTGCTCTGGAGATGCAGTTTTGGGGTAACATTTTACCTGGTAGTATAATCAGTTAAGACTTTCCACTCCTTTTTAACTAGCTTTGAGAAATTGTAGTAATGTCAGATGAAAATGAATCTGCTTATTTTGTATTCAGTTGGGAAAGATTAATTTAAAAAATAGCAATTGCATGGTGCATACCCATCTGGTTGATGAATTAGTTCTCCAATGGAGATGATTTCTTGCATAATAATTTTTCTGTAGAAGGAATAGATATGGTTAAAACACATTGGAAAATTCTTGCAATGATACCCCTGTGAGTAAAATCGTTACTAAGCCAAGCCTGTCAATGTCAATATTATTTCAAGCAATAAGAAGTTTACATTAAAAACGTGAAACAGGGCAGTTCCCACTAATTTCTCATTTAATACTTTACTATTTGTTAAATAACAAAAATTTTACTAGGCCATTTCAAGTGTGAAGCTTATTCTAAGCTTAAGGGTTGAGAAACATATGTATTGCAAAATGCCTTCTGCAGAGGGTCTGAGTAAAACAGAAACAGCACCATCAGGGAGGCTTTGTTTACACCCCAGAGTTTAACTGTTCCTGTAGCTAAAGCAATATTACTGAACAAGCAATGGTGAATGTGTTTATGGGAACAGGAATAAATTATACTGCTGTAAGCTGTATTTAGTAACTGCAATAAGGATGTACTGAGGAACTGCATTGCCAGAAGGAAAAGTCATTTCCCTCACTGGAATAATCATGTTGTACTTCTATGTGAAGGCCAGGCCTAAATTAATTCCAGTTGCATTTCTGAGTTCTTAAATGAGAAAGCTCTTCAATAATGGCTTTCTTTGGCTTTGGGAGGATTTGACATTGAGAGGTGCTGAACATCTGCATCTTCACTGAAGTCTGTGCTGTTTAAGGTGCTGTAAGTCATCACGGTAGTGTGTTTGTGACTTGGCTCTAAATCTTGTTAAAGTCAGTGGGAAAATGCTCGGGTGGATGGAGGACAGGAACCCTTGGGAGACCTTTGTTTGCCTGGTATGTCTTGTTCTCTGAGAAATCAGGTGTGCAAGCAGTAGGAAGCAGTTTATCCTCAGAGCAGAAAAATGTGCCAAAGGGTGACCATACGTGACAATCACAGAGGCTAGCTGAGATAAAAATCCAAGTTTTGTTTTGTTCAGTAGTTTTATTTCCACTTTTTGCTTCCATGGTCCACACATACCTAACACGAGTTGACAAGCTGAAGCAAAGCACTACCACCTCTTTCTGTGGGAGGTGGAGTGGATGTATTCTCCCTGTTGCTGGATTCACTGGGCTCTGGATCAGAGCCCGAGTCTGAGCAGTCAGGTTTGAGACTATTTCTAACTTGCATTTTCATTAACCTTTTAATTTATTCTACCTCACAAGACAAACAGTATGTTGTTTGGTTACTAGTTCCTGTTTGGCAGCACCACGGCTGCTGCTGGCAGAGCCAACCACATGATGAACAAAAAGGAAGAGAAAACTCATTCTGTCAGGTTTCTGCACATGTAACTAAGCAGAAGTTAACTTTTAAATCAAATCCAGCTTCAAAGTTATGTTAGGTTGCTGAGGTCTTTACCCAGCTGAATTTTGAGTATCTGCACTCATTAAGTTGGGAAACCCTTCAGCTCCTGTTCTTGTTCTCAACATTGGAGCAAACACATACCCAGAAATTCTGGAGGCAGCAAAGAGGTGTGCATGCAGCCAGTCTTAAAAAGTAAGGCTCTTTCAGTACCTCTTTCAGTAGTAGAAGGAAGAAGTAATGGTTACAAATGTTTCTTGAAGATGGGGTTTGTTCTCAGGAATTTTTTGGGGTGTTTTTTTTTTCTACATCACAGCAAAATTCTCTATAAATGACTGCATTGAGATATAACATTTCCTTATTTGGGAATATTTCCTTATTTAAAATAGTGGTATTTGACATCATCATCTGACATGATGACAGATGAATCAGATTTAAATAACCCAGTCCTCAGGGAAAATACACCAAGATGAGCGGATACAGATGCTGCCTATTGAAAATGCCTAAAACGTAATTAAAACAAAAAAGTCATAAAATGTTGGATTTGTATGGTGATGGGATTTTAATCAGCAGTTATGTGGCAAAATCAGTGGTCAGCTCTAATAAATGTTCCTTCTGCTTCAATTTATGAGAACATTTGTGGCTATTAAAGAAACAGGCATCTTTGTGTCTTAGTCAAAAAATACATAAAATATTCTAGAATAGATGGTGTGCAAAAACAGGTGACAGAGCTGCGTGTTAATTGGTCGATTTGTGGAACCAAGTGTGAGAGACCTACTTTTTCGTATTGATTGCCTCTTACACTCACTGGATTGTGAAAGTGGAACTCATTTAATGGAAACTCTTGAGATGGAAACATTAAAAATCATACCTGGCTTCAGTTTCTTGTCTATACAGAAGCTATATTCATGTCATTTAGAAAGATTGTATGAACCAATTTTCAGCAAGTCTAATACATGCGAAAATTTCTTAAAGAGGACTGTGCTACACTGCTTTGGCTTTACTCACTGCAGACATGAGCCCACACCATATATTATTTAAATGTGTAAGTAGACACAATGTATAGGATTTAGAATTGGAGAGAATATGAGTTTTACAACAGAAACCTTTCCATTTTCTTCATAGTTGATTGCTTTTAATGCAAAAATTAAGATGCAAAAATTAAAACCAGAAGTGTGGGAATCCAGGGCTTCCCTCTGGCTGCCCTGGCAGGTCTGGGACCCTGGCAGGGGGTCAGGAACCCCCCTGTACAGAGCCCCGAGAGACACTGTCTGTGATCTCTGTCCATGGAGAGGAGTTTTCAATCTTACAGGATTAATTACAAGCTTTGAGTGTTTGATAAGAATAATAATTAAGTGTGACACGGGTGCAAGAGTAAAATTTTAGGTTTCTAGATTAGGGGTTCAGAGGGGACAAGATGGAGGAATTGGGTGTGTCTTGTCCTTTCCTCCTTCTTCATGCCCTCCATGTTTCACTGTGGTGTTGGCATTTTTCTATTGGTTTAAGCTGGGGACACACTATTCAACGTAGATGATAGATATTGGCACATTATTGTAAATATAGCACATGTAGTTTCTGGTATATAATGTTTGTACCATCCCACTGAGGGGCAGAGCCCCACACGCTGCCCTGCAGGACAGACCTGCGGCAGGGCAGCAGAACATATTAGAGATAAGCAAGAATAAACAACCTTGAAAACAGCACAGACGAATTATGGCTTCTTCTTTGGCTACGGGGCAGAAAGACAGAGACTTTCTACAATCTCGGAATCACCAATACCCACAGATTCCGACACAGAAGGACATGGTGGATAGTTAGATAAGTGGGCAAACCATCATGCTTATTTGTCCTGCTCTCAGCAGTGAGTTTAATGAAGGTCTCACCGGAAGATAGGGAAAGCAGATGTGAACTGAGCTGCAGAATCAGGATGGTGCTTTTGAGTGACTGTTTTCTGATGAAATAGGTTCAGGGAATCCATGTAGTGAAGCTGCTCTTTAGTGTGACTGTAGCTCTCTTAAATTTTAATTTGAACGCAGTTTGACAAAAAGGTACAGATACTATGTAAAATACAGACTTTTGATGGAAGGAAGGAGCTCAAGACATCCAGAGCCTTGCTGAACCAAACAGAAATGTACAATGAGAAAGAGCTCCTGCTGAGTCTTGAGTCAAATACAGAAACCAGATAGAGGAAAAACTGGGCTTTACTGGTTCTCTAGTTCTGATGTTCAAAGAGCGACCTTTTTTAAATCAGAAGTACACATATTGTTAAATGTTACTCTAAAGGGAATATAATGCAGCCTTGATACTCTCTTTAAGAACACTGAAATTAGGATGTGTCAATTTAGCACAGTAAGCTTTCAAAATGGGGATGACGCTTTTTATTTTCAGCTGAGCACTTCAAAAACCATAAAAATAGATGTTACCTTCTGTTCTGGAAACTGTCAGGAAGCTATAAATAAGCATAAAATAATACAGGAGTAGGAAAAAGTGTTGTGCCAGCAGTTAATGTTGTTGTTTCTAATTTTGTTGTTGTTTTTTTTCTTCTTTTTTACAGTGTGTCCTATTCAGTGCATGTCTCTGAGGATTACCCAGGTACAGTGCAACATTCTTGTCCATGACACATGCAGACATGTTACCACAATTTGCTATGTTCAAATAAGTATATCTGAAATGTGTTGATGTCTTCCAGGTACATCTTGTACTAATCATTTCCCATTAGTTAAGATTATTTTCACAGTCACTTCTCCTTTTTAGGCATCATTTATCAGTTGGGTCAGGGTGAGAACACAGGTTCATGAGTTTAGGTAGACTGTAGCTTGGGGTGCTGGAGCCAACAGGGATAGGAGTGAGAAAGTGCCCAGCTTCTCTTTGGCATGGTGATGAAGCTTGATCTCTCAGGAGCCTGAGCAGGCTGGGGCAGGGCCAGGACAGCACTTGTGCAGGAGATGTTAATGCGCTGCTGGTGCTCTGCAGACTCTGCGCTGGTGCCTCTCGGGGTCAGCTGGAGCCAACCACTTGTGTGCAGCTCTTTGGTAGTGCTGGCTCACAGAGGGGCAGCTGCTCAGCCCAGCCTGCCTTTAGTACTTGGAGCTGGCTTGGCAAAGGTATTGCGTAACCATGTGGCCTGCCTTGACAAGGCATGTTATTCATAGGAAACAGAAGCAGGTGAGAAAAAAAGTGAGTTTTCAGGGAGCCCGTTTCCTCAATTTCCTTCACAAAGACACTGCACAGATACTTCAGGCAGCACAGGCTATCAGAAGCAGAAGAGGGAAGCATAGATGACAGGTGCTGTGCAAATAAAGGTTTATGGTAGTTCTGTTGGACTCCGTACCACATTGTGCCCCTGTGATTATTTAACAGTGTAAGAATGATATGAAACCCTCTGCCCTTTTTTGATCTTTATCTGTAGCTCTTCTGGAATTTTTTTCAGAGAACTATTATTTCTTTTAGAAGCTCTAAATAAGTGTGACTTTGATCTTTTTCACTGATAAGCGGCAGATTCTGTGTCATCAAAACACCACTGTTTGAAGCAGATAGAGAAAAAAATCAACAGTGGTTCCAAAAAAATGAGTTCTGTGAAAGAATGCTAACAACCTCTTTAGATTTATTTTTTAACCAGTAAAAATCATGGAGGACAATGATATTGGTGTATTCAACATTTAGAAATGGGAGAAACTGAGACTCATAAAGTGCATTGTCACCCCAGTGATAAATGGATTTACAGATTACTGCATTGAGCTGACAATGAACAGAGGGACAAATAGTTGAAAAAAATCTTAACCGTGTGTTATTAACAGTTTCTTCCATTAAATATCACAAAATTTGACCTCTGTGAACATCTAAGTAAATGGTAAGATGAAGCACTGAACCAGCAGTTACTCGCACAGGACATGAAAACTCATTTCCTGGCCAACTCTTCTGTCTGATAGACCTCAAAATTTCCTTGTGGGCATTATTTGCAGCATGTCCTGATAGCCTACAAGCCTGAGTGACTTTAGTGTCCCTGAAACCTGATGAATATTCTGTGCCATCACACCATATATTTTAAAGGCAGATAGCAATTGAACATTTCACACTGTAGTTAGCTTGCAGCAGAAAGTAAACCAGTGCATGTTTACTGATTAAAATACAGCCCTTCAGGGCTTTAGAAAAGCTGATTTCATTCACATCTCAAGCTTTTGCAGGATATATATGTGCTTTATGGTGAAGAGATGTTCAGTGTATTTGGAACAGTAAGGACTTTCTGCCATTTTGCAGCTTTGACCATAAAGCATTCATTTTGACTCAGCGAGCCTGATTCTTTGTCACCTGTTTTTGTCCTAAATTTCTAACCTAATGTTATTACTGACACAGTCAGCTGTGTCTCCCTTCTCTAGCATATATCTTAAGGAAGGTTTCAGGGACATGGCATGGTGTGATGGTGTCAAGTCTGAGAAGCTCTATGATGATGTCCTCAGCTAGAAGGTATTCTTCAACTACTGCTGTAAGTTGATAGAGTTCAGAGCAGCACATGCTCTCAAATTAAATTTCTTGCAGGATAACCCTTTACAGATTAAGATTTAAGTCCATTAGCACATAGCTGTAGCAAACTTGTGTAATACAGAGTGGATCAGATTGGTAAATCCAAGACAAGGCTGTCAGCTGATCATTAGATAAATTGCTAATGTGTGCAATAAATATATGAAAATAGGAGAGATTAGGCCACGATACAAGTGATGTAATTCAGCTGAAATTCTACCAACAAAAGTAAATTCTGGATACTAAAAGAAGAGCCTTGGGTAGTATACATACTCCCACAGCCTGCTTTGCTGTAATGTATGCAGATCACCACTTTGGTACCAACTACAGTGTGTAACTGTTGCTGAATTACTTCTTGAAGCATCAAATGCAAGCAGCTGAGTTTTAAATCGTACCTATGGAAACCGTAATGTGATGTGACAACTTTCAATAATGGAAAGTGTTTGAGGGTTTCGTATTTAAGAGTGAAAGCTAAAAACGTGCTCACAAAGGCACACTGAGGACTTAACAGAAATAGTGTTGAGACAGTAATGTCTGGAAGTTACATATCCAGTGCTGGAGTTGTGAAAACTGAAAAGTTTAGAGCCAGGTAATAACAGTTTCAGCAAAATATCACTGTAACAATTTTTTCATTGACACAAGTGGGGAAAATAATCCTTCTAAAGAGCAGTTATAGAATATAACGTCCATGAGTTGACTGATGTCCCACTTACATGAGTGTATCATGACTCCTGTGGGAACTAGCAGAGCAGCAAGCAATTTGCTAATGAATTTATGTTCAGAAAGATTTGTGTTGGCTGACAAAAACTTGTAGAACTTCTGTAATTTTTTATCCCAGTGATTTGTAGGTTACACACCTTCTTAGACCTCAGTAGATTGCAGCAGAGATGGAGAGAACCAGTTTGGCAGCTAGTAGCTGCATCCCTCTGCTAAGTCCAGGCACTATGTCCTCCAGTGAAGAGGATAAGTAGTCCTAGGTGTGGAGTGTTAGAAACAAGTTGTTGAAGAAAACAAATTGAAGCCATTATCTTAATTTCAAGTCTCATCATATTGATGGAAGGAAGGAAAAACCTAAATAGCTGCCGAATAGCAAAGGAAAAAACATACTTGTCAGTGAAAGTCATATTATCCAGCTGCCAAGAAAGAATGACAACGGACATAAAAATATAATTTAAATCTATAAAACCTGTAGCTGAGCAATCCTTTTTCCATATATGTATGTATATTCTGTACAGAACATACTCTGTTCCTAGTTTTCTGTACAGCAATAAGCTGTAGCACAAGAATTTCCTCTCTCCCTTCCACGTATGTGGTGTTAGGTCTATTTAGAGCCAAATTATGGCGTCAATTATCTCAGCTCATTAGACTCTGGAGCACTAACTTACACTCCCAAAACTGGGAAACAGATGTGCTTGTGCAGTGTGTGCAAGGTGGACACAGAAATGGTGGTGACAAGGTGGAGAATATAAACAGAGGCAAGACAGGGCTTCTTGCAGAGGGCAAGCTGCAGCTGTCCTATGCAGGACAGGCTACAGCTCACAGCCCGTCCTGCCAATAGACAAAATAGGAGAAGAAACTAATGCTGGCAGGAGGGACCCCACTTAATTTACACAGTGCCATGGCTGTAAAAGATGTCCCTGTGCCCAGTGTGTAGCTGCGCAGCCGCAGACTGATGTTTTGCTGTGCCCATGGGAGTGCAGGGCTTGGGCAGCAGCGCTCTTGACCTCTGCAGCATTGTCCCCACACAGCGTGTGTGTGTGGAGCCAGCCATAGATCCCTCAGATTGCCTTGCAGGACAGCACAGGAGTGGGGGTAGGCAAAGGTGTGGGACAGAGTCAGATCTGGCAGATGTGTGTGAGTGTGGCAGAAAGGCTGTTTTGTGGGTGGCAGCCAGGAAAACCCATCTGTATGTGTGGTGTAGGTGCTGCCCTGCCCAGCCTGGCACACAGTGTAAAGAATGGCCACAGCCCCTGCTCCCTCTTGGTAAAGGTCGCTAAGAACTGCTGTGATACAAAGGATGACATTACTGAACTTTCCTCCCAGTTAATGTCAACAACTGCAATGTTTCACTGGGAGCACTCAAAAGGTTTGGGGCTGCAGCAGTATGCTTAAAATTGCATGTGATTTCTTGCACATTGCTGATGTGGGACCAAAGTGTTTAAAGGTAGAATACATTAGTCCTTCTTTCAGTTCTCTTATTTGTCACTTTATCTGTGATTGTCTTAATTGTCAGGCTTTCTGTTCTAGAGCATAGGTTTCAATTCAGTCCAGACCATTAGAAAACAAAATATCATTACTTTCATAAGCAGTTTAGCAACACATGCAAAATTAGCTCCTGCAGATAGTACAGAAGACCCTGCCACTTTTTGGTTTTTGTTAAGAAACATTAAGTTGGAAAGAGAAAAAAGAAACCGAACCAAAAGTACCCCAACAAACACACTCCTCAGTCTAATCCCTACATTTTTAAAGAAGATTTGGTGAAATAGTTATAATATTCATAAATACCAATGTTGTGGTTATGTGGGAGGGATCTCTTTTCCACCTGAATCAGGTGGAAGAAAAGTTATCCACAGATTTGAAGACACTTCAAATAACCTTTATGTGACTAGTCAAAATGAGGCACAGGTATTTGGCATAATTGGCTGTTAACACCCAGCTCTCAGTGCAGCTTTCACTCTGCATATCAGATCTAGCTTGAGTTTTGGTGTCCGACACAGCAAAAAACATAGAACAAGTATTAATTTTGGGAAAGGTTGGCCACCCTAAGCCTTGTGGGTTGGTTCAGAGTAGCGCTTGGTGTGATTCACAAAACCCATGACATCACACTCCATGGTTTTGCTTTATAAAGTTTGGGTCTGAATCTCCTGTACTTATATATACTTATGTACTTATATATTTTTGGTTTTGTTAACAATTTCAAGGGAAAAACACCAAACACACCAGGAAGGTGGTTATGCTTTCCTAAGCTTCTGGGGAGTGGCTCCTTGTGACAAAAATCTGGGATAGGAAACATTGGAAGGGGCTGACAAAGCACAATGGAACTTCACCATGCAAAGTGTTTTTCTTTCGTAGATAACACTTATGTTTCCAGTTCTGATAACGATGAAGATGTGTTAGTTACAACAGAGCCAATTCCAGTAATTTTCCACCAAATTGCTACAGGTAATTCTATGTCCGGAGAGTTTTCTCAAATTCAAAATTTTGGAGGAAATCTAAGATGTTGTCTGCACTTAGAGGGAGATATGATGTTAAATTGTTCAGCTGTACAGTTTGCTATTTTCTCTGGGCTTGTTATAGTAAATTGTCCTACACTTCAGAATAGAAAAAATGAAAATACTTCTTTTGGGGATCACTACAATTGTGTGTGGAATGTATTTTTTGCTTCTAATGTCTTGCAGCCTGTGCTAGAGCAATTCCCCTCGTCTAGAGATGCTTAATACTTTCAATTATGAGTTTTCATGATCAGTTGCTTAAAACTTCACTAAATCTTCACCACTGTGATGAAACAGTCTATAACTACCACTGCATCTGGTGAATTATTTCAGGAAATGGTTCAATTGTTTCACTAAATTGTACCCCTCTCATTATAAATTATTTCCTTATTTTCAAAAAGTACTTGATACATGAAAGGGTATGCTTGTCAGACATACAGGCACATTTATATTGTATTTAATAAAGATTTTTGCACACACTTCATGGAGACAGTTTAGATTCCAGTAGACAAATTATCTGATAATTTCAGGCTGCAGAATAAACTGCACAGAGTCTTAATTCTGGCAGTTCTTCAGATAGGAACACTTGACTTTGTAATTTTTTTATTATTATTCCAATTCTTTTTTAGGGCATTTTTTTGCATAACAGAGAATTATTTTGAATTCCACTGGGGAACCAGTATGATCTTCATTCTCTATCTCATTTATACAGATGTAAATAAAGAATAATCTTATTGAAGTTATTGCAGTAGCACACAAACAAAATCTTGCTATTACCATCAGAAGTTTGTGATAAATTTTACTTGTAAATATTTCTTTACTTTGAAAATAAATTAAGCCTGTAATTTACAATAGAGTAAAAAAAAAAATCTATATTTTATACAGAAGATTTTGTTTTCCTGAGGGGTTTGATTTTTCATTCTTTTATAAATTACATTAAATTAATGAACGACACCAAATTGTAAATCACAAATTGGGAAAAACAAATGTCCTAGATGGATCTGCTGAGTTTCAATTCACACTTAAAAAAAGTCTTCTGGGAAGTAGAGGCTTCCTAATTTTACACTGTTGCATTGTAAACTCTTTGATGCATTTCATATCTGTAACTTTTTGTTCCTTATTTGCTCTACTACTGCAACTAAGAATTCCAAATCTGCAAAACTATTTCACTTTTTTTTCCCACACATATGTTCTTTGTTTTCCTTTTTTTTTTTTTTTTTTTTTAAGAATTAAGAAAAACCAATGATGTCAACTATTGCTTATCCATAAAGTCAAAATTACAGAGGGAGAATGGAGAGGTATGTACTTCTTATATGCATATTTTAACAGAAATTATTTTAAGAAGCAAAAGAAAATAACGGAATATGAATATTTACTATAGACTTCCTGTCAAAATGTGCTTATTCAATCTGTGCATGTTTACATGTTTTAGAAGGTGGCCACATTTCTCTGGATTTCATAAATTGATTGACCAGTGATTCACTTAGTTGTGACAGAGATTCTCCTCCTACCCTAGGAAATACGGTTTTGGTGTTTCAGTTTTTGTTCGACAGTGTTATAGACCCTGTTGGCCCTAAATACACTGCTCTCCTGGAAAAGTAGATAGTGATTCCATTACCTTTTAACCTACCCCGGCACATAAGACCTCATCTCAATTACTTCTACTCACTACTTCTTCATGTAGCTTGCAGCAATCGCAGTGCAGACTTGAGTGTTAGGGTCTTCCAGGCACGGTGGCATTTGCCCTGTGCCTCTTGCACAGCTGACCAGTCTCGCTGAGACGTTAAGAAAGAAGTGGCACTAAGGTGAAATCCACACTTGGGTCTTGACAGTGTCATGGCCTCAAAGAAGGTACTACATAGGCTCTTGCCTCAAGCAAGAGATTAAGCATTGTCAGGACTTCAGGTGCTTGACCTAAAGTCTTTGGTAAGTGTGGCTGCTGAGTTTCTTACCCTGGAAATGGGAGGTAAGCATGCCTTCATGCTATGTGTGTTGGTTTTTTAATAAATGAAATGCCATTTGAGGTGAAAAGCTGCACTGAAAATACTTTGCTTCTACTGTCTCGTTGTATTCAGTGCTCTGTGAGCATAAGACATACTAGTGTGGGAAGAATTTACCCATTTTCTTTAAAGCCTGAAATATAGTTAACTTCTGTGGGACTGAGTTTGAGCTTCTGTTTTGTTTCTAGTTGAATCAGGTACTTAAATGTGAAAGTACTGGAAAAAAACCCTTTATAAAAATTCTCTTAACACTGGTTATTTCTGTTGGCTAGACAGTTTAAGGTTGGTTAGGATATGATGGGTCTGTCACTATTCTAACGTGAGAGTTCTGTGTGGAATTTTTGTTCAGTTGATTTCTGTTTTGAAACATACTTTCCTCTGAAGTAATTTTTTTGTAAAATGAAGAAGACTAAAGTTATTTTATTTATTTTCACTAAAGTAGAAGTAGAAATTATTTTTTATGTCTTGCCAGAAATCGCCATGGGATTGAATAGATACACTTTTGCACTCTATGTATACATACAATGAATAGAGCAGGAATTTAGAGGCAGAGGTAGAAAAATGGGATTAAAATGTCGGACCATAGAAATTGGTGATAAGTGTATATACATACTGACATTCATGGCTATGGAATTTAGGGGTAACTTCTACTCTTTTAATTCATATTTCTGATTTCTTTTCCATTATGGCATGTCTGTGTAGGACACAGAAAAGAAAAAAATAGTTAATACATTACATTCAGGCTGAAGTGAAGAATGATGATTTTAACTAGGTGTTCTTTAGGGGCTACTAGTCACCATATGCCATAGAAATAACACATGCAATGTGGGTTACAAGAATTACTCCCTCAAGCAATTATATAGTTCTAATTAAAAGTTCTAGTGGTGGGAAACAGAATATAATATTTCATCTCATGCTGAGTTGAAGTCAGTACCAGGATCAGTTTCATTTACTTGAAAATGTTATTCACAAAGCAGCCTATTTGGAGCAGGTTTTACTCAGGTAAGCATAGGACTCTCTAATCCTTAGTTTTTACTGTCTCAGAGAAGAGCTACTCAGAAAATTAAGTTTGAAACTTTCCTAGCACCAGGATGTAGCTTCTGTTAAAAATAATAATTAAGCAGCAGAGTGTCAGGTTTTCACAGAAGGAAACATAAGATACTCCATGTTTTGACTTGGATTATTTCCTGAAACTATTAGGGTTTAATTCTGAGAATAAAGTAAAATAAAATTGTAGTAGGTTGCTGACACACCAAAAGATCTCCATCCAGAACCAGTCTTGATGGGAAAGTTATGCTTTATGTAGCAAAAGCACAGAGTGAAGTATCCCCACAAAGTCTGCTGAATTACCCAGTTCTTTAAAGTACCATGCTGTGTTTCTAATCACACAAGTATTATTTCTCCAGCATATATTCAAGATGTTTTTATATACCCTGATTTAGATGTGTTTTTCATGTGATATTTCGTCATTCTTAAAATGGGTCCTGTGGAAAAATTATACTGAAAGATCTTTAAGAAAGGATGCTGTGAGCTTATTTGTAAAAGCATAATTCCTGTAGTTACATTTTGATCTATACATGCAAGGTCAGCGTACTGCTTTTATCATTGTTAACTTTCCTTTTCCATTAAGGAGTCACGGCACAGCAGCACAGTTGAAGAAGACTCTGAAGGAGATAATGACTCTGAGGAATTTTATTATGGAGGACAGGTAATTCAGGAAATTGTTTGCACAAGTTCCAAGAAAGTAATATTTGAGAGTTCTTTTGTTTATTGCATTACAAATTTATAATAATATTTAATTTCTTATGTTTTTTTCACTGTTGAGTAGAGTGGCATGTGTATATATGTACATACTATTTTATGGCATATTGATATATTAGATGTGTTACAAGTTATAATATATTCAAAATAAGATTACTTTGCTTACTTTTGCAAAGCTGTAAGAATGAAAAAAGCAAATACCCTACAGACAGTTGAAAATAGAAGCTACTTGCTTACTTCCAGGAAACAGATAACTGACTCTGTAAAGCTTACCCTAATATTAATACAAATGGAAAGTCAGGCTGGATCCAAATCTGTTTCCTCCTGGAGAATTGCCATTTTTTGAAGTAAATAGCACTGCATTTTTATGGTGAAAATCGTTATTACAAAACAATTTTGGTCTAGGCAATAGTCCATTCTTTTTTTGAGCTCTAGAGTAAAATTCACCTTGAAAAATGCTGCGTATTTTAGATGATTGTACTGCTCTGTGCCTTTTCTTCTTGTTCCCTCAGCAGAATTAATTCTTACATTCTCTTGTGTATTGGGAAATGAAATATTTTCATGCCTTTTTTTTCTTTTGCAGTGTGTTTTGCGCTGCTAGTCTTTATATTCAGATTTGTCTCATTTTTTAGTCTCAGTGTTGCCCCAAGGAATCATTCCTCGCTTATGTTTATTAGAACTGTTTATTTTGATGAACATTTTAGTGAATTATGGTTGCTGTTCGTGAAGGTTGTCCCTTACCTCAGCCTTGAGGCTGAAGCCATCCGTGCCCCGGGTGCAGAGCCAAGGCTGCAGGAGCACACCAGCAGTGCCAGGAGGGTGGGTCGGTGCAGAGAGCGTGGGATGCTGATGAGCAGGACATTGCTGAGCCTCCTCTCTTGCAGAGCCAACAGTTTGGTGGGGTTAGCATGCAAAATTCATGTGGAGGTGCTGTACAATAAAAAAAACCAAACCAACAAAACCCCACAAAAAAAACCAAAACAACCCCATGCCCCTGAAAAGCTATTAAAAGTTATATTGAAGCTGGAACTGAAATAATTTATTTTCATTGTTTGAAATAGCCAACATGGGGAATTGACTCATGTTCACTTTAGAAATGACTGCAGGAATTGCCTCCCTTCAGCTGCCGACTCCTACAGCCTCATGCTGGGGAGTGCTGGGGAGGACCATAAACATATTTCACTGCAAAGAGAGATGTTTTATTTTAATCTGCCTGAGAGGAAAAAGCTTCTGATCTTGTCCTGTAGTGATGAGTCACATGTACTCGCTTCATTTTTCAACTCTGAAGGGCAGTAACCTCAAGGTGAAGGAAAAGGCAGGGAACAGCTGGGAGTGCTTATTTCTTGAACCAGGGCTGATACATTTAGTAAAGGATGCCTGGCAGTGCCCAAATGAATTAATAAACATTAGCACTGCCTGTAAGATATGAACACACATAGCAGTACAGCATTTTGCAAGGCGTAAAAGACCTGTGTAATAGACAAGACTGGTTAGGATTTAAGTGCCTTATATTAAAATGGAAACTAGATTATATTGCATTATCTTCGCTAGAAGGTAGTATATTTAACTGAAGGAGTAGTAACTGGCAAAAAAAATCAGGTCTGCAATAAAAATAAAATATCAGTTGATTATTACTGTTTTGAATATAAAATATCCATAAACAAAATCAGGTGAACAAGAAAAAAAAGAAGATGTCATAGAAAGTGTATTTAAAAAGTGGAGAAAAGGACATGTCTAATTTAAAATTTTGTGGTCAAACAAAGACATTTAGAGTTCAGAAGTTATACTGGGGAAATAAATAGGAAATCAGGTAATGAGCAAAATTCCTTGAAAGACAAAAAAGAGCAATCCTTTTTCAAGCAGAGTGTTTGTAGGAATTGTCAAGTCAGCACCAGGTATATTGGGGAGACAAAAGATTTGACCATATACATGGGGAGCAAGCAAGGTGGGCTCCTTCTTTTGATACAAGTGTCTGCCATGCCCACAGAGAGAGGGGCAGAAATACTGACTTTAACAAATAGAGGGAAGAGATGCCAGTGTAATTGTGTGCAATAGAGTTGGGAAGGATCGAGGTCAGGATAGTTCTTAGCTGCAGCTAAAAAGATAGGCGAGTTGCTGATGATGAAGCAAGGCCCATGGAAGCTGGGAAATGGCATTTGATGGGCAGTGTAAAGAAGATGCAACCTTTTGCTCATAAATTAAATGTTTGTATCCACTTCCTAAGCACCTGCTTGTAATCCTCCCTAAGGATTTAATGGATAAATACTTTAAAGTAGCTAAGTAGTTCAATAGTCTAAGACCTATTGATTTTCAATGGGATTTAAGTTTGTAAATCACTTAATCTCCTTCTAAAAAGCAACCTTTTGTCAAATAATCTGAATAAGGTCTCAGATTAAAAAGAGACTTTCTGAACATAGACCTTTCAGTCACAGCAAAGTTACCAGATTTTTTTAGCTTTTATATTCACTTTTTCTGCAACTGTGTTAATTCTTGCTTTGAATCTCTATCTTCTACATTTGCAAATAAGAACAGGGGATGAAAACAGAAATACTACTACCCTTGGCTTTCTCTCTGCATGTCTCTTGTGCTTCAGCTACAAGACATACTTGAAAATGCAGAAATACAAAACCCTGACAGCCTCCTCTGCATACATCAATATGTCTGGGGCACTAGTTCAGGGGTGGGGAGTATCATACTGTGGTCTTAAAATTTGCCAGAGCACTGCTTTATTTCCTTTTTGAGTTCATAGCCTCTTACATGAGAAAATAGGTTAGAAAAAAAACATTATTTTGAGCAGTGTAGAGTTGTGCATAATGTTCCTTTTGTATTTTAGTATTATTGAAACATAAGACTGATTAAAAAATCTGGTTTAAGACCAACAAAGGTGGCAAGTGCTCCACAGCTACGATTTGTGAAATGATTGCTGTGCTTTCTTTGGAAGCAGGACAGCAATTATTTACGCATCTTTAAAGAATTCTTCTTCGAGTAATGAGCATGTAAAAAGGATTGCTTTCTCCCTACCTAAAGTGAAAAAAAATTACAATAACGATTTTCTTTCTGTGCTCTTCTACTTGGAAAATTGTTCTTACATGCCCTGCCCAAACAAAGGAAGGATACTGTTTTATAGCTTTCTGGTCATGAATATCATTGATATGTCTAAAAAATAATGTCCATGCCATGCTGATTAATTTTGTGCCTTATACTTAAAGAATTCTAGGTCTAAGTCTAATCAAATTACTCTCTGCTGATTTTCACATATAAAAAGTGATCATCTGATTATTATTTTAAGACTACTGATACTTAATCAAATTGAAAAGCACACCTCTTAAGTATCAGAGCTGAAGGTGTCAATAGAACTGTTTTCCTATAGATTTGGGTGTACAAATGGAAGAAAGAGTATGGATGTGGCTCTGCAATAACTAGGATTCTCTGCAGGATTCCTGTGTATGGTTATATATATATAAAAATGTGTGGGTCTAAAGGGATAAATTGCGTTCTGCTGCTTTGCTCTCTGAATTTGTCAAAGCTACAGACCAAATCCTACACCCATTTCTGAATTCAAATCTAGGGAGTTCATTGACTTCTGTGGAATTACTGTCATTCTAATTGTTCTAAAGACATAGATTTTAAGTTCACACTATCAGGATCATTTTGCTTGAGTAATAGACAGATGATGAATAGATTGTTACATGCCCAAAGATGTATTTTGGACCTTGTAAAAGATAGAAGGATATTAATTATTTTGACTTCATACAGTCCAACCAAACCAGTTTGCAAGTTTTGCTTTTTGGTGTAAGCACAAATATAACTTTTTCCATTTTTTATGTAGAGATTGGAAAAAAAAAAGGCGGGGGGGGGGGGGGCTGGTGGATACTTCTTTATACCTTCTCTGGTGTAATACTTCACATGGGAAAGTGTTCTTTTAATTTTTTTTTCATCTGATACTATTGCACTGGTGGGCGGGCAGAATGTAGCCAGTGAATAAGTAATTTAGATGCTGAAGTGCTGGGTATAGAGAATAGTTTCATGCTTCTCTTGTGCCCAAGCGATTCTGTATCTAGTATATATGAGAGTGTGACAACAAACAAGAGTGAGCAAACCTTTGTGCTGTAGTGGTTGGACTACAATGACAAAACTGGGGACATCTGATTCTTATCCTACTTAACATTTTTAAAATACAGATGTGTCCCAGAACAAAATAGGACAGATGGATGAGTCCTTTGCAGCTTCTTTTCCCACAAACAGGAAGAAAACCCAGTAAACACTTCAAGGCTGAGGTGCTTGCTTTGAAAATCTTACTGCTTTAGAAGATGAGGTAGCCTCAGGGCTTCAACTTGTCCTGTCTGAGTGTGACATTAAGGAAGCTTAATGTCATGAATTTTATAGAGAGTATAGTCTAAATCAGGTGCCAGAAATTAAATACAGAGCTTCTAAGATATTTTTCTTTCCCCAAAGGTTAGCTATGATGGAGAACTTCACAAGCACCCACAGCTGGAGGCTGATCTAACAGCAGTGAGAGAGATCTATGGACCTAATGCAGTATCTCTCAGGTATGGCACTGGCCTTTCCATACTGTGGAACCCTTAATGTTTTGGATTTTGAATTCTATATGGATCTTCCCTGGCTGCTAAAGCACAAGTCTTTTCTGGTAATCTCTTCATGCTGTGTGACAAAAGGAGGGAGCACTGCAAACTATCAGTGCTGAGTTTTTGGAGATTCTTTTGTTTTTCAGCATGGTTACAGGTAGCTGTGCTGAGAGCAGCCCTGTTCTAAAACATCATTGTCTTCTGCAGTTCTAGTGAGGCAGTTGTGTTTTGTTGTAAATTACTGTTTAACATTTTTCTAAAGCCTTGTTAAACTCTTTTTCTGTCATATTCTGTATTTTGCCCTAGAAGTGAACAAGAAGAATGATAAGAGATTTAATAAATACTTTCCTTAGGGAACGACTGAAGGAATTTATTTGTCCAGTCTAGGAGAAAAAGAGAGAGAGAAGACACAATAACAAGTTTTCTTCTTCAAAATAGCTGTTTGAAGGTAGAAGAAGTGATCAAATGCTTTGTATTGACACCATGTGAGAGAATGTAAGAAGCTAGGGCTTGATCAGAGATTATGGAAGTTTTTAGATTGCAGGGATCTAAAGTATCCTACACAGGGAAGTAGTAGAACCTTAGCCAGATGTGAATTGCTAAGAATAATTGCACACTAATTCTGTTGCGCGTATATTAATGTCCATGATTCTGCCATAGTGTATATTGCATATATATTTTAATAAGCCTCAGATATTTTATAACTTCATTTTCCATCAATGTAATCTTAATAATTCCATAAAATAACCAGTAGGTAAGATATAACAGACCTGTTAGATGTATTGCAAGGAAAATATCAAAGTTGTCATACAAACCAAGTAAAAAGAAGAGAGAGCATACCTACAGCTATGGACTACTATACCTTTTCAAATTAAATGGAAATTTATTGCACTTCAAGAACCTGGGGAATCAAAATCTGAATAGCGGTATTTAGATTTAGGAAATGAATAGATGGTTATTTGCTAAACTGATAACTATGAAATTCCTTCAAGCTCCTAAAATGGAAACATTATGTGTAACCTTTTGAAAACTTAAATGCATGTAGTTTACTGAATCAGCTGTTTCACTGGAAACACTGTGATCCCCTTGAGCTCATTCTAGTAGAAACTGGCACCTGTGACTGCTTTTGGCATGTGTAAAACCTTATCCACTGTATTGCAGCTGAAAATATTTACAAATTCTTGGAAATACACCCCACAGCTTTAAGTGTTCATTTTCATCCTTCTTGTGCATCTCCACTTCTCTAAGAAGAGAGGAATTTCTCTGACAAAAGTATTCACTGAGAGTGGATATTTTCTAGACAGTTGACCCTCCTTTCAGTAATCCCTTGCTGTCACAGAGTCAGTTTTACATGTAAAAGTAAAGTTTCTGTACCTGCATGCTTTTCACCACTGCCCTTAGAAATCTGGCCACAAAAGCCCTGAGAAAGTGATCCATCCAGCTGATCTTTTGCTTATTCGTTTATGGACAGAGAACCTCTGGGAGTTTCAAAATCAAGAGGCTTTGATGAGGCTATTGTAGATAGTAGATCATAAGATGCAGGTGTTGGAATAAAACATTATTTCCTCCTCATGTCAGCTTGGGAAATTAAAACTAGAGTTAGCATCATGTTTCTAAAATCCATCTTCTAGGATAGTAATGGAGTGAGGGCAAAGCGATTTCAAAGCGATTTCAAGTGAATATGGAAGTGTATTTCAAGTGAGTATGAGCTTCCCTATTTCAAAGCCAGGATTTTAGTGAGTTGTAGGCAGTCAGCAAGTGCCTGTGCAGCACCTGCTCCAGTGTCACCTCAGATCTGGGTGAGATGACAGTGAAGCAGCGCCAAAGGTGGCTGGAAAGTCTCTTATAATACAGCCCTGTCCTGCCCTGTGTGTGCCATGTGTGGACAGACCTGATCGAGAGAGTGAACTTGGGTTTTCCCTGACCAGACAGAACCATTGGGTTGCTGAATTTCGGTGGAAGGGGCTCCCTTCATCAAACTTCACAAGAGCTCAAGTGATGTTCAGCACAAACTCAGCCCTACCACATCTGAGAGCTAATTTTGGTAGGAAACAGTTACATTTTACTGTTTCAAAACTGCCTTGTTGATTGGTTTATGTACAACTGTTGCTCTGCACTTAGTGAAGTTTAATGGAAAAGCATGGAAGTCACTGTGACAACAAGCATAGAAATGGAGCTTCAAAGTTAAACACATCCTAGTGGCTGGAAGCTAATCTGTGGAAATTGGAGCGATAATACTTTTACAATATTGTCCACTTAAGTAACATAAATGAAAAGGAAGAAAGTTGTTTGTTTAGGTTTGTGAATAATTATTTTGTAGCTCTGTTTTTCAAGTATGTTGGGGGAGGGCAATCAGAGTGATTCAGAAAATAAGAGGTAGAAAAATCACAGTTTACATGTAAGATTTCAGATGGTAATGAAATATCTGTCAAATCCGAATCTTACAATACTGCGTATAACACATAAAAAAGATTAACTATTGCCTTGAGCACATTACTGGGCAGTCTTTATTTTTGACAGGCAAGTGCTTGAATGAATGAACCAATCCCCCAGATATAACATGCCATCCTATAGGCTATGTTGTACTTGTCTTCAGTAGTTTATCTGAAGTCTGTTTTTAGGTTACTGGCTGTTAACCTGAAATACTTTTGAAAATTAACAAGATTTTCATGTGTCATAAATGGGAGCAGCATGTGGCTATTCATTTTTCTTTGTTCATCTCTGCAATGCATGAGGCAGAAATACATAGCAGCAGTGGAGATATTTTGGGGGAATTAGTGGAAAAGGTTTAGTGTGTTTAAGCAAGATCCTCTGAAAAAAGCTTTTAAGTGCAGCCGATGGTCACCCACTGGGAATATTGATCCAATCTATGTAAATGTGTATTTTATAACTATTCTGATTTTACAGATAAGATAATCCTTTATAAAATCTTGGGTGTTGTAAGTACTCCTGAATTGAGGAGTATCTTAAAGAGCTCTAATGTAATGTAATTATTTCCTTTCAGGGAATATGGAGCCATTGATGATGTAGATATTGATCTACATATTGATGTTAGCTTTCTTGATGTAAGTAATCTAATCACAGAATTACATAATGAACATTAATACCCATTTAATTTTGCTACACATCGGACTCTCTAGACAACCACTGATACTTTCGTTTTTTTTTGGAGACTTGATCTTCACAAGTGGTTGTCACATTATTGATTGATACAGGGTAGAAAGGTTTTCTTCCCTTTTATGACCACTTTGTTAAAATGCTGTGTTAAGCTTTTATTTGCTGCACGTGTATTTCCTCCCAAACATTTTTTGTGGATGGTAAATGTTCTAATAAATATAAATGAAACACCATTATTTTTATATTAACCTAGACATGAGTCAGGTGAAAGCACTTCTTACAGTCCTGAAGGGAAGAGGACTTTGTCAGGAGTGCTCCTGTACACTGATAAGAGAGAGACTTGACTGGCGAAGGAACAGGAGAGCTCTTTGTTGGCTGGCAGCATGGTTTCTCTAGCTCTCATGCTGTCATTCAGCTTCACACTTCTTCACCTTATCTGTGCAGCAACTTCCTGGCCTCTATATAAAGAACAAAAATGAGAACTTCTAAGGTCATCATTAGCTTTTGCACAGACATGTCTTATTTTCAGGTCCACACAGCACATAAGACAGTTACTGAGCCTTACTGTTCTGTCTTTTTTGCTCCTTTGCTTCTCAGCTTTGAGCTGTTGATAGATGGGAATGTGTCTGCCTGTACTGTACGTGCAGTGTTGTGTATAAACCTCTGCTTGGTTTAAATGAGCTCGCTCAAGAACTGGAAGTAGTCTGACACTGATCTTCAGGGGGCGTTGACATGCCATAATTTGTTCTGAGCCTGATGATGTTGGGGTAGATACTAAACAATTGGGAAATGGTTGGATGGTGTTTGTAGCAGCCCTAAGGCAGACTGACAAAAGGCAGTAGTTCCTCACAATGGCTAATGATGTCTGTTGTTTTCTTATTGTCTTAAACTAGGAGGAGATTGCTGTGGCTTGGGATGTAATTCGCACAGAGCCTATAATAGTGCGACTGCACTGTTCACTTACACAGTACCTAAATGGACCAGGTTGGTCAATTTTGTATGTTTCTTGTGTCTTTTGTAGTGTCCAGTCTGAGCCATGGGTGAGTCACTTACTCACTTACTCACTACCAAATCTTTGACCCTGCATGTGCTCAGTTCTACTGCTGAGAGGAGTCCTATTGGTTTGAAATTTGGCTTATGTATTTGCTTGGCTGGGCCCTTCCTAGTGACACAGGCATCTAATTTAAACTTGCATAGGTTGATTTTGGGAACTTAATTTCCTGATATCCTTTGAGATGCAACTGCTTCCCCTAGGAACCAGGGTTAAGGAATAAAGATTGAGAGTTTCTAATATGTGATTTCCTGATTTTTTTAAATCAAACATCATCTGCACAGATGGGATATGACCAATAATGAAGACATACACAGACCTGTGCAGCACATTAACATACACTTCTTCATGCAGCTTTAGAGAGTTAGGCCATGGTAATTCCCCCTTTCAGCTTCTGGTTTCTACATGAGTGTGTGAATTCTGGAAATCTTTAGATTTGAAAGAATTTTTAAGTGAGTAAAGTTTCCTCATGAGAGAAAAATGGTCAAGCTTATGAAGAATCGACTGATTTTGAAGATTTGGAAGCATTCATATGTGAGAGTCAACTTCAGATATATTTTTACAGTCCAAGTCAGACTCAGTTTGGATAATAACTTGCCCAGCCTTGGAGACTTGCAGTACAGGCTGTCAGTTCATGCTTTTATCTGTGGGAGAATTCTTCTTCTGGAAAATGAATAGATATTTCCAGTCCTGTTTAGCAAAATCTGTCCCAATGAGCTATTACTATAGGATATGTTGTCCATCGATTCTAACTATAATGTCTATTTTGTTCATTCAAGTAAGCATTTCATTATACCAATATTTTTTTCCCATTGACTTTAGTATTTTTTTCTGTGGTTTATTACTTCAATCGTTTTTGTTAGTATACAAATCTTAAAGTATGCATTTGCGATAGCAAGAAGCAGTGTTAGTATTCAGAACATTCCTGTCAAAATGTAATTTAAAAAATAAAGAAGTGCAGCAAATACGAGAAGGTGAAGTGTGTAGAGCAGCATGCAGTGAGAAAGGAGAAGTAAGAAGAATATATATTCTGCATCAATGACAAGGTTAAGGTGGCAAACATAGTTCCAGTGCTGCAGCTGACTGCTTGTGGGAGTGCTGGAGTTCTGAGAAAGGCAGCAGGGCCACAGGCAAGAACTTTGCTGACGTTGGTTTTATGAGCTAAGCTGCTTTTGCAGCCTTGTCTCTTTACTTACCAGCAAAGCACAGTGAGATCCACCATCTTTTGTATTAATTCTGTGAATCCCTCTTCTGTTTTCTTGAGAATACAGAGCCAGAATTTTATGCTGTATGTTTTTGTCCTATACTACATTCTATTCGTTGAGAAACAAGAACACAATACATTGCAAAGCACAGTGGGGGATATGAGTACCACCCTGTAGCTGTGTAATACACTGATTTTAGATAGTTCTGGTTAATAGCTTGTCTCAGTAGGGGCTGCGTGGGCAGTTAGTCCCTCATGCCTTAGAAACCTGTCTTAGAGAGGATGAATCAGCTAGTGGTATTGCCATGTCTCATCTGAATGTAGAGTCTAGACAAAAATTTTGGTCTAGATGTCAGATTATAAGACTGCTGATTGTAGGTATGCTGGTATGTAAAGTATTCCTCGTCCCACCAACCCCTGCAGCGTGTCTGAAATTTGACAATCCAAAGATATTGCATTAATTAAATCATTCATCCCTTTCAAAAAAAATAATCAGCAGTTTATATTTAAAAGATGAGTTTATGTTTCATGCTATTTGAATAATAACATTAGAGGAGAGATAACTACTGATCTTTGAACTAAGTTAAATTGCATGGCAAACATATGTATTGTATTTTATTATCAAATTTAATCTGTTAAACAAAATTAAAGTACAAACTTGGATATTCTGAATAAAATTCAACTGAGTGATCAGAATAACATCAAAATATTGTTTTTCCACTTCTAATAAAATTTGAACAAACCCCAGACTTTTGTTTTAATTACTTTTTGATTTTACTTTGGTTATTGCCACCTTATGCAATACAAAATATGCAGTCTGTTTGTGCTTGTGGTATGCATTGGTTTTTGTCCTGCCTTGAGGCCCTGGGACTCTCTCAACAAGTACTGGCTTCCATCTGCCACTTCTATCTAGCAAATGTTATGGAAGGATTTTAGTAATACCACTAGCTAATTTCCATCCTTTACCCTGTACATTTGCAATTTCTGACATGAATATGGATACACCAGTATTAGGACAGGCCTTGACAAAATTTTAGGGTAATACTTGGCCACTGGAATGCACATGTCAGGCACTTAGATGATGGTTTTTGATCTTGTATTAAAACACCCTCAGAAGCAAAATCCAGATACAAATTAATTCAGTTTAAGTCTGGACTTTCTTCGTAGCCACAGGAACTGTACTATGTATAGACTACTTACTCGGAAAAAAGGTTTAAAATGTTAGGTGAGATAAAGTGCCAGTCCAGATACATTTAATCTGATCCTGCTTGCTACTTCCATAGTGTATATGTAAAAAAATATGCATTTTTGTAAATAAAATGCATGGGAAGACATACATTTGGGAGAATTCCATATGTAAAATTACAAATTATATTGCCTGATATTCCAAAAAGGACCACTCCTTTCTTAATATGCTTAGATGACATGTCTACTCTTGCCATTGCTTCAATTTAATTGTCTGTAGTCAAGCCCCACAGAGAAGAGGGTCCTTAAATAAGATTTATGTGGCCACGAGTTTGTCATTACTACTGTAAGTTCATATATCAACAAATATCCTTTTTCCATAGTGCCAACTGTGGATGTATTTCAGATCTCTACTAAGGAAAGATTTGGGCTGGGACATCAGCTGAAAAAGTAAGTCTAGAAAAGTACAAACCCATGTTTTTAGGCAAATGTAGCACTCTTTTAGTTTCCAGACCGTGTCAAGTAGAATAAAATTCATGTTGCTAGGTTTGTTGTTGGATCAATACCTCTTGAAGTTGTTTATCTTTAAATAAAAGTCAGTATTTGCCATTTTAAGTTTGGGTTTGTTGGTGAGAACCTGACCTACGTTACTTGCCAGGGTTTTCTGTCACTTTGTTGCCTTTTAGGAAAAAGCTATAAAAGGTATAAAGACCATATCTAGGAATTTTCAATTTCATCTTTCTGCTTAGATGATGAAGCCTCTGAAATAGGAGTCCTTTTGAGCTTCATGCATACTATGAGGGGGCTATGCTTTCATGGTTGCCTCTAGGATATACCACAAAAATCAGGCCATCCATGTTTTGAGGACAAGATGGAAGGATAGTCAAAAAATGTGTCAGTTTCATGTGGTCATAGTTCAGCTCTTTCTAATACAATTTTGCTGAATCATCTCTTAACGTATGCTTTTGTACATTAATAAATTTTTAAGTATATAAGCTTTAGTATCTCGCCATTACAACATTAAGAAACCCCTGAGGAAAACAAAATCCTGTTTAGTGTTTTAAGAAATTCAGTGCAACACTTCCATAATCTTACAAATTAATAAAGTTATTAAAATCTCTATGGTACATAACTTTGAAGAAAAAAAAAGGAAATAAATGCTTCCCCAAAATTAATAGTCTCTTAAAATGTTTTGCTATTTACCCTGTCTGTGATTTTTTGCACCAGGTAATTACAAAAGGTTCCCATATGACGTTTTCAAGAATTTAGCTGCACAGTTCACAACTGAGCAGGAGTAAAAATTTCCGTGAGCCCACTGGTCCATCATGGCTATGGCAATGGCATATTTCTTTCTCACACCAAATTTAGCTTTGACTTTTATCACTATTTAGAACCCCACTGTGAAATTAGAGTCAGAGAACAAGGTTCTGCTTAGCCATGCAGATGCAGTAGCCAGTGGTCATGTGAGAGGTAGACCCCTGTAGCTGAATTTGAATGCTCATGACTCAGTTTATGTCTAGATCCCCGTGAGAGGTATACTCTGCATAAGTTTTGCAGTGATTTTTTACACAGACTGTATTCTCATTAAGAGTCCCATATTAAATTAGCTCTACATGAAAAAAAAAAGGGGGTTTTGAGGAGCTGGGACACCCAATTACTAATCCACATACATGGCAGAAAACTTCATCTCTAGAGTGAGAACACTGCATTGACACCTGCATGGTGACCACTGAAACCATAGTATTAAAATGTCTTATGTCCTGGCTGGGATAAGAAAATCTTTCTTTTCTATCCTTATTTGTAGAATCATGCAGACATTTGTTACACAACAATGGAAGAACAGTAAAGAAAAATCTAACTGTACGCACAATAAGAAGGTGTCTGACAAAAAGGTGAAATCCCCTCTGCACATCTTTTCTACATTGCGCAGGTAATTGCAGCAAGGAAAATGAGCTTTTATCACCATAAACTGTTCAAAATCCACAGCAGACTTCACAAGGTGAAATCTTGACTTTTGTTCACAGAGAAGTTCTCTATTTATATCTTACCTCATGGGTTTACTGTCCTTGCATTGCATGATATCAGGAGTGAACTAGGTACTGTTGCAGCTTCTAAGATTATTAGAAGCCAGAGCATTTCAGTGCCCTGCTCTCTGAAACAGCCATGTTACAACTAGAACTGGAAATAATTAATTTTATTTTAACTTGTGTTTTTATTTTTATCTTTACTTGAATAGTAAGAATGAAAATACAAGTAATACATATGTATAGCATATGTTATGTATATTTTTAAAAACTGTGTTTTTCCAGCTCTTCTTTATACAGCAGTTTGTATATTTAGTTTTTTAAAACTGGAATGGTCATCATTGAATGAATGATTTTTAAAGATGCTGAGCACCCTCCCCACTCCAGTATTTGACTACATTAATGTTTTCCACTTCTGAAATACAGGCACAGAATTTCAAAGAGAAATGTCATTAGAAAGCATAAGAAAGAGTTTATGAATAGTTTGAATGAATTTGAATTTAATACAATTTCTGCCAGTTGCTCATACTCATAAGTATATGTAGAATCAGGTTCTGATTTTACCTCTTTCAGGGTGGTGACTATTTACTCTAGTGTGGTTTCCTGATTATGGAGGGTTGACAGATCACCCCTTCAATTCAGTTACTAAATTTGAATTGAATGCTTCTTTGAATATTCCTTCCTTTTGATTAATTTTACCATTCTAAGGTCAGAGTATGAAAAAGAGATAGAATACAGCAATCACTCAAATGGAAAAAGGATGGAATGTCAAAGATGAAAAAAAGATTGGTAGAGGAGCAAAGATGGTGTTTTAAGTAGAAGTCTTCTCCATTCCCTACCATGCAACACACGACTGCCAAGCACAGGCTGTAGCTTGGGGCTTGTTTTTATTTAGAAAGGGCATACAAAACCAGCCCATTCTTTTTCCTCTTGATTTGGGAGCTTAAGTCCAGAGATGGCTCAGCCCAAAGGTAAGGACACTCTCTGTCCCCAGGGCACCAGTCCTACCTCCCATCTGCAGGAGGGTGAGAGTGAGCCAGCTGCTTACAGTGAATCAGCAGGCTCCACCTGCCTCCTCCACTGTCAACACTTGCTAACGGGGTGGGGAAAACTGCCGGCCTCTCCCTTTGGGTTTTAGCTTCTCTATTTGATGCAAAAAAAAAAAAAAAAAAAAAAATCCAACCCCCCCCAAAAAAGCCACCTAACAAAACAAAACATACAAGAAACCAAACCAAACCTGCTTATAAAACATATGAAAATGATTCAGCATACCTGTTACATGTTCTTTGCAAGACCAGGCAAATGTGAACTTTACAGAAATGTAATAGTTAGTGTGAACGTTGTTTCATAAAAACCTTTTGTTTTTTACTTCCTGCATTCTTAATTTAGGTCTCTCACATTCTTTTTTCTGGTAGTACAGACTCAGAATTTGTCTATAACCAGAAAGAAGGGTATAAATTTGTCTTTCACAAAGTGCCCACGTTACTATGATGGTTTTAAAATAATATCCTTTTCATCTGAATTAAATTTAATGTCTCCCATGTTTCATTGCTCATGGTATCTTCCATTGGATCTGAACATAGAATTTCTTATGCTGTGTCCCGAATACAATAACTTCTATGGTATCATGTTGTGAGCATTACATAGAAAAGATAAATTTTGATAAGGAGGATGTGTTATAAGAGGTGGATTTCATTTCTAAGATAATTTCCAGAATAATTGGTTTGTTTTGAGACACAGAAGACCTTACAAAAAGCTGTAAGGTCGCAGGTCTAACTTCTACTTAAGTAGTTGATTGTCTTTTTGATTAATGAGCTTGTGTGTAAATAGGAGTAAGTTGCTTGTTTTGGTATTGGAAGATGTTTTATATACAATTGTTTATTAAAAGTTTGGGTTGCATTATCACTAGTGAAAAATATAAACATGGGTGGCACTTAAAAGTGTTTACATCTGTGTGATCTTGCTTGATTTGCCAAGGCTTTTGATTATTCTCCAGCTTTGCCATGTTCTTTATTCTAAGGTCGCCAAGTTATCCTCCACCTGGCTGTGGTAAGAATAAATCAAAACTGAAGCCAGAACAGGATGGCATCTCCAAGACTCACAAACTATTGAGAAGGACTTGCTCTAGCACAGTGAAGGCGGAGGATGTGTGTGCCACAAAATCTCACAGAACATTTGGCCGCTCGTTATCGAGTGACCCTAGGGCTCTTAGATCGCACAAACTGCTGAGTCGTGCTTGCTCTGCAGCTGTCAAGCAGGAGGAGTGCATCACTTTAAAGCCCCATAAGGTGTTAAATAGGTCGTGCTCTGGGGATCCTCGATGTGAGCACAACAGCACCTTGAAGCCCCACAAACTTTTAAGCAGATCCTACTCCAGTAACCTTAGAATGGAAGAATTGGATGGATTGAAGAATCATAAGTTGCTCAGCAAGACTTACTCCAATGCCCCTAAATCATCCAAAACGGAGCCTTTCAAGGAGTCCACCATGGCAGAGAGCAGGAGGCTCTCTCTTACCTCAGGGCTTATTGGTATCTTAACACCATCCTCATCATCACCTTCACAAACTGCTGTGAGTAATATTTTTTTTGTATTCTGCTCATTTTCCTCCTATTATTTTCCAAATGTGCTATTATGCTTTTTGTGCAAAGGCATTAATACTTAGAATTTTTGATAGTGACTATATTAGATATGCTGGAAGACAAGAGCAATGAAGTTAGCTTTTTAAGGAGGATTCAAACAGCTGTGCATACACATATAGTTAAGTTATAAAATCGGAATTTGCTGGGGTTGGGACAGAGATTTTATGTGTCATGTTGAAATTCAGCTCAGCTGGTCATGAAAAAAATTCAGTCACCCACTTCTTCCCTGCATGCTTCCTGCAGGAAGAACGAACAGTGTGCACTTCTGTGCTGCAAAATTAGGTTGGTTGCAGAGGAGTTTTCTCATTTCCCTGCTTGCTTCGTGGGGGAAACAACTGTCCATTAGATGGTTTGAGTGCCACGTCCCCTCTCCTTCTAATCTTTGCATTTGCATCATCATCATCATCATCATCCCCACCATACTGCAACAAGTTCAATCATGGTTCCATTCACCTCTTGCACATTTGTGATTTGTGAAGGGTTAAACTTAAACCTGCAAATGTGCTGAGGGACATCAGGGGCCACACAAGGAATTGGGCCCATGCTGGCCCTCTTACTTTCCTCAGAGACATGATCAATTGGGAAAACAAAGGGCAGCATATGCTCTTGCATTTAAGAAAGAGCTTTCAAAATTGATTCTTCTGTCTATACCTCTTTAAAGATGGCTTTTTACTTTAGAAGGAAGAGTGGGTTTGTTTGCAGTCTTTCAAGGCAACAGCCTGTTTTTTGTGTGTGATCTGGGGAGAAGTGTTTAGAAAATAGTTCTCTCTACTCCCTTTTCCTGGTGGCACCTTGGAAGCTGATTCTCTCTTCAGATGCCATACATATGTTTAAAATAGTGCTTTCTACATAATGAAATTACATTTAGTGCACTATGTTTCATGGTAATTTAGTAAGCTTTAAGCTATACTCTTCAGATCTAAAGGCAGGGATACACTATCATAAGGTTATTGATATGTATGTTGTTTGGTTGATTCATGTGATGTGCACAGTAAAATTAATTTAAGATGAGCCATCAGACTTTATTCTTGTTACAGTTTAGAGATGCACTTTTTTTCTGATTCAGCAGAGGATATATTAACATAGCAAGACTTTACTCTCCTGGTATTAATAGGAAAAGTCCCTCTGTTTTTTTAAGATAATGAAGAGCTGACTAGGTTTCATTACTGGTGTTATCAGCTGATGAGGAAAAAGGCAGGCCCTGTTTGGCAGCCTATAAAAACTACCCATAATTTATTGCTTCAGTGCACTTACTTTGAGGGAAGATCATCATGTACCTGGTCAGATGTAGTTTGATATTAGTGGAAGGGCATCAAGAGTCTATTTCATATTTTATATGCAGCCACCAGATCTGTATGTAACCTGGATGCCTAACTGCAATTTGAAGCCAATGGAATGTAGGAGTGGTGAATCAAGATCCTGAGTTCTCTTCAATTCTCAGCTAAAATATGAGTTTATATCAATACAAGTAGGATTGTTTCCCAGAAGAAAAATGAAAAGGCAGTTAAGCAATTAAACAGTAGAAAAATGAAAGGAAATAATCCTATTTAAAAAAAACCCTGCCAAAACACGGTAAATGGAGCTGGTCTAACTCTATCAAAACAATGTGTGATTGAAATAGATGCCAGTCTGGAGGGAAGTCTGAATCTTAGTGACTCTTGTTAACAGAAGTTACTTCTGATTTATGTTGTTATGTGCTGAAAGAAAAAGAATTTGATCAGTATCTGAGCATAAAGATATGTTAGTCCAGTGTTGCAGAAGTGAGACCTTAGTACATATAAAATAAAAAGGTTTTTAGCATTTCTGAGAGTTACAGTAGTCTTTCAAGCCTTAACATACAGCCTGTATTTGGATAGGCAATATGCAGTGAAAACTCAATGGAAGTTACCAAACATCAGTTTATTAGGATGGATTAGAGGCACTGGTGTTTTCATTTGAGATTGAAGCTTCTTGACTGGTGAGATACAAATCTCCATCAGATTTAAGAGCTAGGAAGAAATACTAAAAACCTACCCTATATCAGTAAACAGTAAAAGGATTGATAATTTGTAATCAGGTTCATGCAAATGGGAGATCTCTTTAGATGCAAATTGTTTACATATTTACATGCAAAAACTTATAAATGCTTTACCATTTCCTTACAAATAGTGTGCCAACACTGAAGTTGCCTCAACTTTTCCATTGCAGCAAAATTATGGTGCAAAATGCATTCCGGTGCGAGACCGTGGCTTTCTTGTGCAGGTAGGATGTCATATACTACTCACATATGAAACACTGTGGAGAATGAGCTGACTGTTAAATATTTTTAAGCAGATGCTGTTATTCTCATTTTCATTGTTCTCAGAGTATTGAATTTGCTGAGCAGCGGATACCAGTATTGAATGAATACTGTGTAGTTTGTGATGAACCTCATGTGTTCCAGAATGGCCCTATGCTGCGGGTAAGTGGTGTGCTGGTAAAACAATGCATTTTGTAGTGCTTTGAATAGCTGTGGACCACACAAACCTGTTGGAAAACCATTAAATTATTTCAGATGGGTTTCATCCTAATACTTTTTTGAGATGCAAAAATATGGAGCATATTAACTAGGTTTTGCTGTAAATCTGGAAACAAAAACAGTCTCACAGGGAAGAGAGAGAGAAATTAAGTTTTTATCATACCACATAAATGTAAAATAGCATGTATTTCACTGAACACTGTTGTGCTACAGTAGTCACAGCCACATAACACAGAGAAGTGCATTAGAGTGTTTTCCCAGTGCTCTGGCATTCTTCTGAAAGTTTAGGGCACATCATCCTTGAGCTTTTATCAAACCGTGACCATGGTATTTACATACACTGGTGTTAATGCCAGCACTCTGTGAAATTCTTCTGACCTTGTTTTGCTCACAGGCTGCTGGAATGAACCATTCTCAAATGTGTTGTGGCTCTGTATGCCCAAAGTCTGGCCAGTTAGGCAGCTCCTCATTTTTTTCCTGTATGACTGGGAATAGAATTTTTCCTGCTGATCATTGTAGCCTCTCATGCTGTTGGTGTAACAGTGGAAAAGAGTAAGATCAATCATGAGAGACACACTGCCTGGATCAGCGCATCTTTGTGAAAGAGTATTTTAACAGAATACAATTCTTAGCTTTAGGGCTGGTCTTGCAGTTTAGAATCCTCTTGTTTCACCTGCCCTTCATCCAGTAGGGAAATATGAGTAACCTAAAAAGATTTTAAAGCCATGAAAACTAACTCCAGTGAATGAATGGTCTGACTGATACCAGACAATTTCTCCACAGTGTGGCCAGCAGCTACGGATAAGCTGAAGCAGATCTTACCTATGATAATTCCATGGAGCTGAATTCAGGAGGGCTATTGCTCTACCTGGTAGCAGAAGCCACCTCAGTGTCACTTCCCTTGATGCTGACTGGCACCAGGGTCAGGCATTCTGACTGCATATAGGGTGTACAAATGGGCTGCTGGTAGGATTTGGAAAGGCATATACATACCCAGTTAACACTATTTATGTCATGGTTAAGCCCCTATAGTTTTGGATATCCAGAGTTATTTTTGCTTCTTCTAGCTCAGATCTATCTTTTAAAAGCAATGTATTCTGACAGGTTTTATCAGTAGCCAAAACTGATTAGAAGCCTTTAAAAAGGCATCCGTTTCTCACTGTTTGTGTTTGAATGCACTGCTGTGTATATTACCTGTGACAGAAAGACATAAGACAAAATCAGTAATGTTTGAAGAGTGATTAAAAAAATCTGACCTTGTTTTGAAAAACATAGTTATTTAAGTTATTGGAGTTTATCTATTATCTATAAATCAAAGCAAACAGTAGGATTTATTCTATTTAAAAGAACCAGAAGGTAAAGTTACCTGCTCTAAATGAAAAAATCTAAATTCCTTTTTTCCCACCATAAAGATGAATATCTCTGAGAATTACTCTTTTGTGTCTTCAAATTAAAAAAGGATCATTTTAGAGCTATCTGTTTAAGAGTTTGTCAACATTTCACAACAGAAGAAGCTGCAACCATATTTGCTCCTGAACACATATTCATCAGTGTTTGAAGTAGCATAACCTGACAAGCTCGGCAAAACCAGAAGAGTGTCATTATATAGCCTAGGAAAAATTAGATACCAGGAAGAAATCTAGCATACTCTGTGTATGCTTGAATGACTCAATAAGCAATATAGAGCCATTAATGAGTTTGCACTTCTGCAGAAGATGAGAAAAGATCTGTGTGGATTGAGCATTAGCTTGCCTTGGAGTGTGTTAAGAAAATTTATGCTTCATTCTACTGAGAGCTCAGGCCAGGGGCAGCTTGAAGGTAGTCAGTTTGTGGGATTTATGTACATGCTTCAGTTGAACACACACATACACATACATGCATACATATATATGTGTGTATATATCTAACGTATGTAAGGAAAAAGAGCATTTGCTCATTAGTATCACTGCAGGAGCAGATCTCAGAAATTGAGTACTTTTGTTACAAGAACGCAGCAAGCTTTCATTTAAGGCATGGCTGCATGCAGTGTAGTTTTATTGAGGGTGTCTGGCCTTTGTAAAGAGTTCTCTCTTTGGATACCACCATAACCTTACCAAGTTTTGTAATGGTGTGTGCCTTGCCATGGTGTGCTTAGCATGAGTATCCAGATCTCCTTTTCTACGGATGCCTGCATCCTGAAGGCATTACATGACAGGCTCTCTCTGCGGCAGGTTGTGTCACGAGAGGTACCACAGGCTGTATAATTCTTGGTCATTCACCAGTTTCGCTCTCTAAAGTTCAGTTCCTCCACACAGATGCACACAGGTTCGTGTCTAGGTGTGGGTGTTCTTAATGTGAGTTTCCCTTCTATGTTTTGGACCTCTTTTTTTTCAACAGCAAAGAAGATCTATGAAATTATAAAAACATAATAAAGTTACTGCTTGAAAAATTAATATGTATATAGGTTTGATTTTCTGATCTTTTATGTCGTTTTATGCAGTTATAAAGAGGCCACTGAGAAATTTGATTCTCTGATCCTCCCATATGTCAACCTGGTGCTATTCCTGAACTACAGTATAGTTTATTAATTGTCTTAAATGCAGTTTAAAAAAACTGAACAATTGCCATCACACAACAATTACAGTCTTCTATACCTACTTACAAACTCTTATGCTGTACATAGTTTTTTGTGTTAGTTATTACTGACTTGGGAAATACGGATTTCTCATCCTCACAATAGCTGAAGAAACCATCTGAAACTGAGAGATAATTTTTTTTTCTTTCTGCAGACTATCATTTTATCTTAGTTATACAGTATCTTTCAATCAATCTCTCTTAGCAAGCTTTCTTCTCAGTATTATGCTTCATTTTCTTAAATAAATTTTCCCGGGGGAGTAGTCTGGCTTTAATATCTATTTCAATTTAAGTTACTTTTAAAAAATCCTGACATCTTTTTACCATAAGATAACAACCACTTCATGACAACAAGATGTCTCATTTTGTATGGCTTTATTTAGGTACTAGATCCACACGGCAGACGTATTACTGTATGGGAGATTTTGTTGCAGAACAGCTGCATGACACGATTGCATATGTTTGACTTGATGATTTTACAGTGGACCTCTGTCTTGCTCCAGAACCCTCCATAATTATCTGATCATGTAAATGTTCCCTACTGCTTCAGGGATCCTCTTTGTACATTGAAATTTTTGGGTGCTGTTAGGCCTTCTTAGTCCTTTATTGAGGATAAATGAAGGGGCTGCTTTATTGGCTTCCTGAAAATGAATAAGTAAGAAATTCTTATCTTTCTCTTAGGACTTTCTTTACAGAGCAAAGTGAGTATCTTTGAGAATAACCAGTTTTCTTTTGAGCTCCAAAATTCCCTGAAATACAGAAGACCAGAGTTAAATGCTCATTTCCTCTGTGTACTCCACAAGTTTGTGTGTGTGTGTGTAAAACAAAGCAGATTTGGTAGATGGGGTGGCCTCAGAACATGCCCAAACCTAATACCCTCACGAGGAACTGCACCTATATTACTGAGAAGGGGAAGAACAAAGGTTCTCTTAAATGGAAGAAGGAATCTTTTATCTAAGATCATAAACATCATGAAGTTGTAACACACTTCTTAAGAAAAGGCCCATGGTCCACCGTTTCATTCCATCCACTTAAAAAAATCCCACAGTAGTAAAGTAGGCGATGTTTTCCCGTAAGTATTCACACCTTCCCCAGATAAGACGGGCATGAATGAAAGATCTCATCACAGCATGTTTCTTCTGTATTTATTTCAAAAGCACAGTGAGATTTAAGGATTATTTGCAGTACACCAGAAGGTATAAAAGCCAAAATGGATGTTTAGAGAGACACACTTACATAGAGTACCACCAAAATCAGAAAATTACTTGAAATCACTACGTGGAATGATATTCAATTGTTCTGCAAAGCAGAGGAAAAACATAGTGAATACAAGGATCTAAGAATAAAAAATATTATTTAAGCACTTACATAACATGAACCAATGTTATTTCATGCAGTCATTTCTAATGATGATTAGAATCCTGCATATTTCACTTTTCACAATAAGATAAAGAAACGGCTTTGAAATCATTAGGAAGTGTTGGGACTGCAGTCTCTACATCCAAACAGCTCCCTTAACTTATGTGAAGAATCACAGTGCATCTTCCTGCAAGGCAACCTGTGCTACAGAGCTCTCAGGAGCTCTGCCGTCTTCTGAAGTATCTCCTTGCTCTGTTTTGAACAAGAGGAAAGTGGAAGGTCAAACACAGGTTTTATGGAGGAAACACACAGAAGGTAGATATGGCAAATCTGCTGAAAAAAGTAAGGGTCTGGTCATTTGAATTATTAGCCTCATGTTCCCTTCTTAGAATTTGTTTTCAATAGAGAAGTTGTTTAGATGAGTGAGAATGGACTATTACCTGATTGTAATTAATGGCTAGATTTGGATTGTGAAATGCTTTTTTCCCTTAACATTTTCAAACAGTTGGTAGTTCATTCACATCTGTGTTGTTTAAATAGTTAAATAAATTATCCTGATTTCTTTCAAATGACAGTATTAGATTAGATATTAGAAACTAACTTAGGAAAGTTGAATGACTTCCACAAAACCCATTTTGAAGTACTGACAGATTCTTGCATGGGGCATGCATGATGCAAATTCCTGAAACTGGAATTTGTTTCATCCACTGCCTTTCACTGGCTTTTGAAGATCTCCAAGGATGGAGACTGCACAGCCACTCTGAGCAGCCTGTTACAATGCTTGATAAAGCTTTACGAAAAACTTACTTTAGCTTTATCTAAAATTTTGGATAAAGTTTAGACAAAGTTAATAATGTATGAGAGAACGAAAGTACTGACTGACCCTCTAAAGGTCCTTTTTAACCATCTGCTTTGGTTCATCTAGTAAAACATGTATTTTCCAAAGCAGATTTACCAATGTAATAAAGAAA